GTCATTAAAAAAACAAAATTACCAACAAAAAAAGCCCTGCCCCAGATGGTGTCACTGAAGAACTCTACTGAAGGTTCAGAGAAGAAATGACACAAAGCCTACTCAAACTATTCCAGAACATAGAAAAGTATGGAATCCTGCCAAATTCATTTCATGAAGCAAGCATAACCTTGATATCAAAACCAGGCAAAGACATCACTAAAAATGAAAATTACAGACCGATATCCCTCATGAATATAGATGCAAAATCTTCAACAAAATCCTAGGCAATAGACTCCAACAACATATCCAAAAAATAATATATTATGACAAGTGGGGTTCATACCAGGTATGCAAGGACCGTTCAACATTAGAAAAATAATTGACATCATCCATCACATACATAAAACAAAGGAAAAGAACCACATGATCATATCAATTGAGCTAGAAAAGGCATCTCATGAAATCCAACACCAATTCCTGATCAAAACTCTCAGCAATATGGGAACAGAAGGAAAATTCCTCACCATAATAAAGGGCATCTATGCAAAACCAAGAGCCAACATCATTCTCAATGGAGAGCGACTGAAACCATTCCCCTTGTGAACAGGAACCAGACAAGAATGCCCTCTATTACCACTTCTATTGAACATTGTACTGGAAGTCCTAGTCAGGGCAATAAGGCAAGAAAGGGAAATCAAAGGCATCCAAATTGGTAAGGAAGAAGTAAAACTATCCCTATTTGCTAATGGTATGATCCTATACCCAGAAAATCCAAGAGACTCAGCAAAAAAACTAATGAAATTAATTGAGAGATTTAGCATAGTGGCAGGATACAAGATCGACATACAAAAATCAGCTGGATTTCTCTACACCAGCAAAGAGAATGCTGAAAAGGAAATCAATACCATTTACAATAGCTACCAAAAATAACAATAATAATAATAATACTCGGGAATAAATCTCACTAGGAGCTCTGGTGGCATAGTGCCTGAGACATTTGACTGCTAACCAGAAGGCTGGTGGTTCAAACCCACTAGCCACTCAGAAGGAAGATTGGGCAATCTACTTCGTAGTGATACCTACTTGGAAACTCAAGGAAGGGTCACTATGGGTCAGATGCAACTCGAAGGCAGTGAGTTTTTTTGAGTTTTGAGGGACACGAAAGACCTGTACAAAGAAAACTACAAAACACTACTTCAAGAAACCCTAACAGATCTACATAAATGGAAGAACATACCATGCTCGTGAATAGGAAGATTGAACATTGTGAAAATGTCAATTCTACTCAAAGCAATCTACATTCAATGCAATCTGAATCCAGATGCCATCAACATTCTTTAAGGATATGGAAAAACCAATCACTAATTTTATATGGAAAAGAAAGAGACCTCAGATAAGCAAAGCACTATTGAAGAAGAACAAAGTAGGAGGTCTCACAGTGCTGGGTTTCAAAACCTACTATAAAGCCACAGTAGTCAAAACTGCCTGGTGTTGGTACAATGACAGACACATAGACCAGTGGAATGGAATTGAAAACCCAGAAATAGATCCATCAACCTATGGTCAGCTGATTTTTGACAAAAGGCTGAAATCCATTAAATAGGGATTTAACAAGTACTGCCAAAACTGGTTATCAATTTGCAGAAAAATAAAACAAGATCCATACCTCACACCACACACAAAAATTAACTCCAGATGGATCAAAGACTTAAATGTGAGAAATCTAAAACTATTAAGTTCCTCAAGGAAAAAACAGGGGCAAATTTAGGGGCCCTAATATATGGCATAAATAGACTGCCAAGCATAACCCAAAATGCACAAACAGCAGAAGATAAACTAGATGAATGGGACCTCCTAAAAATTTTATTTTTATGTGCTTCCAAAGACTTCTCCAGAGAAAGTAAAAAGAGAACCTATATATTGGGAAAAAATATTTGGCAACATCATATCTGAAAAGGGACTTATCTCTAAAATTTATAGAAAACTCCAACACCTCAACACAAAAAAGGAAAAACAATCCAATTGAAAAATGGGCAGAAGACATGAATAGACACTTCACCAAAGAGGATATTCAGGCAGCCAGCAAATACATGTAGAAATGTTCACAATCATTAGTCATTGTTAGAGAGATGCAAATCAATACAACAATAAGATACCATCTTGCCTCAGTATTAATAGCAAAGTTCAACGAGACAGAAAATAACCAATGCTGGCGAGGAGGTGGAGAGATGGGGACTCTCATACACTGCTGGTGAGACTGTCAAATGATACAACCATTGTGGAAAGCAGTATGGCAATTCCTTAAAAAGTTGGAATTAGAAATACCATTTGATCCAGCAATCTCATTACTAGGTATATATCCTAAAGAAGTGAGAGCCAGGACAAGAACAGATATATGAACACCCATGTTCATCGCTGCATTATTTGCAATAGCCAAAAGATGGAAAAAATCTATGTGCCCATCAACAGAAGTATGGATAACCAAATTATGGCACATACACACAATGGAATACTATGCAACACTAAAAAATTATGTAGAATCTGCAAAACACTGCATAACGTGGATGAACTTGGAGGACATTATGCCAAGTGAAATAAGTCAATCACAGAAGGATAAATATTGTATTAGTTCATTATTGTAAAAAGTCAAGGCAAGGTTTATATATGGAAAGAAAATTTCTCTGTTGGTTACCAGGGGTGGGAGGGGAGGGGAAGAGAGGGAAGGAAACATTGCAAAAATAAATTTAAAAAATAAAATAAAATCGAAAAATAAAACCTATATATACTCATGGATGCAGTCCCATTTGCCTTCCCACACCTGTTCAGCTGGCATGTCCACCTATACATCCACTTGTAGATTATTGTTTATTATTACTGTTATTGAAGGATTGTGTATACAATAGTATTTACCTTTGTTTTCTTTAACTCTTGTACACCCTCTAGTGTCTTCTTTTGCCTTGGCTCATATTGTGCTGACCTAACACTGACTGTGGGAGCTCTGGTGGCTTAGTGCCTAAGGCATTTGACTGCTAACCAGAAGGCTGGCAGTTCAAACCCACCAGCCACTTCTCGGAAGAAAGACTGGGTAATCTACTTCCATAGTGATACTGCCTCAGAAACCCAAGGAGGGGTCACTATGAGTTGGATCTGACTCGATGGCAGTGAGTTGTGAACACTTACTGTATACTGCCTTTCCCTTCACCCAAGTTAATATGTGTCTACACTTTAGTTAGTGATCTCTATGGGATTTTTAATGGCTTTTTTCAGACGTAGATCACAAGGCCTTTCTTCTGAGGCTTGTCTGGGTGGACTCAAACCTCTAGCTTTTTGGTTAGCAGCCAAGCATGGTAACCATTTGCACGACCCAGGGATGGCTGGAATAAGACCTCAGATCCCCTGAATGGACTAGGCTCTAATGATTATTTATTTTAAACTACTTATACCTTGAATTTGAGGAGTCCTTGTGGCCCAATGGTTAGATGCTCACCAGTTAACCAAAATGTTCAAACTCACCTGCCATTCTGCAAGAGAAAGATGTAGCAGTCTGCTTCCATAAATATTTACAGTCTTGGAAACCCTATCGGGCAGTTCTACTCTGTCCCATAGGGTAGCTATGAGTCAGAATTAACTCAACAGCAATGGGTATACCCTGAATTTATTAACTGCATTCTTTTCTTTTTATTTTTCAATGAATGAATAATCCAGGGACATTGTTGCAAAAGGGTAGTCCAGAGACATTCTTGCAACCTGATGTTTTTATGTCTTTATCTCTCCAACTTTGTGTTGAAATGGTGTTTCAAAAGGCATATTTAATTGTTTGTTTTGCTCTACTTTGCTCATATTAACCTCGTACAATTATCTAAAGGTTTCTCAAGGGATAAATATTTGTTGTCTTTACTTAGCAAGTACTGGCTAAGGGGTATTTCACAGATTGTCTTAGATTGGATGTTCTCATTCGCAAGAAACAAGCCCAATTCAAACAGGCTCAATTATGAATTTTATTGGCTGGGAAAGAAAATGTTGTTGTGAGACAAAAATACAAGCTCAGTCAATATTTGCAAGGTGCTGCAGTACAGGAGACAGTTGACTCAGGACTGCTCAGTCCCCAGGTGGGGCAGAGGGATTACATAGAGTCTTTGGGTACCAGGGTTGTGGAAAGTCTGGAAAGTCAGAGTATATGTGCACTTCCACACGTCTGGAGTCAGAGGATACACGCAGTGTCATGAATACAGATGTGAGGAATGCAAGGATGGAGCAAATTCTGAGATTAAATCATAGAAGGATATGATCCCTGGGGTTAAAAGTCAGGCAACCTTAGCTTTTAGTTGGGTGAATGAAACGTTATCAGGCATGGAGAATTTTCAGAGCCTTTAAGAGGGCTCATATGGGTCAAACTTCAGACACGGCTTGATCAGAGATTAGGCTTTGTTTCTCTGAGATTCTCTCATTTCTTCCCTTTTCAGGGCTTTGACTTTGTCCCCAGTCCTCCCTTGGCCCCAAGATGGCCAATAGCCACAACTGGAGAAGGTGTTTCCTCACTTATCTGTGGAAACCACAGGAGCTCTTTACATTTCATGGACCCAAACAAAGCTGAACCCACTCCTCTCCCTCAGCGTAGATCATTCTTCCCACTCCCATCTACCCATCAACCCCTTCATCATCTTTCAAGGGCCAGCTCTGATGTTTTCTCTTCTGGGAAAGCACCAATCAGAATTAATCACTCATTCCTGTGTTCCCACAGCAGAAGTCTGCTCCTCAGTGATAACACCCACTACATTCTACCTCCATGTCTTTCTTACCCATGCCTTGTAGGAGTGACTGGGTCTTTGGTCTTTGTGCCTTCCCATAGTGCCTAGCAAAGCTCTCAATATATACTTGTTGAGCAAAAAAATGAATGAGTGAATGAATGAATGAACAAAATTATAAGAACCAAGGACCAGTCTCTAGAAAGAGGCAATTTAGATTCACGCACAATGCGTTTCCCAGCTTACCTTCAGAATTTTCTTTCCCTCTTTCAGGTCACTGCAGGGAGCCTCCACCATGGGAACATGAAGCAATGGAGAGAAAGTATCAATTTGTGGTGGGGCAGACAATTCAATACGAGTGCATCGAGGGATACGGGGTCCAACAGAGAGGCCCTGGCGAAAGCACTTGCAAAGTGATCAATGGAAGAGTAAAGTGGACACAGCCCCAGCTCACATGCACAGATGAATTGATTCCAGGTATTGTTTCCAGGTATTGTGGTGCCCTGCTTGGCTCCACTATGCTGTTTTCTTCCATCAGGCCAAGCAGGGTGGAATTCCTTACTTCATCAGCTGCGTTACCTCAAGCAGCTATTTAACCTTCCTGGGCCTCAGTTTTTTCACATTCTGAAAAACAGATTATGTGCATGCTAAGGGCCCCTCCACCGAAGTCCCTCTGTACTCTGGAAGGTGATATAGAGTAAGAGACCAAAGAACAGCAAAGTTCTTTCCAGCTTTACCTCAATGAGAATAATGCTTTACCAGCAGAATCCTGAAATTCCACTTCTTCCTCTAAGCTACCAAAACTTCTGGTTTGGGACCTCTGATAAAAGTACAGATGTTCAGGGAAGGGACTGAAAAGTAGGCTTTGGAAGGAAGGTAGGCAAAGGCAAGGTCTGGCTACAACCATGCAAAAGATAAATGAGAGTAAACCATGGTCTGCTCCTGCCCCCAGCATCCTTTCTGAAGGAGAATGCTCTTTCATTCACCTGTTCATTCATGAATATAACAAAAAATCTGTGACTCTCTACAATACACCAGTGAGTATGCCAGGTGAAGGGTACATAATGGTGATACCGCTTTCTCTTTCCTTTCTCTCTCACTCTCTCTCATATGCATATATTGTATAAATGCTATAAAACTAAACGCACTGTCGTCTAGTCAGATCCGACTCATAGCCACCCCTCCTTGGGTTTCCGAGGTGGTATCTCTACGGAAGTAGATTGCCCAGTCTTCCTTCCAAGGAGTGGCTGGTGGGTTTGAACCACCAGCCTTCTGGTTAGCAGTCAAGTGCCTTAGGCACTACGCCACCAAATCATGTATGTATATATTTTACAGAGATTTCATTTTGGTTTGTGAACGTCTAAAAGTGTCTAAAATGTCCCAGGAGCACTGAATATTGTCAAGTTCTCCTTGAGAGTCTAAGCACTTTTCTGTTTTATATAGTTCAGATCTACATTGTTACATACCTACAGGTTCATGATTTCTTTATATTTTCTTGGTGAATTGTAACTTTTATCATTAAAAAATATCTCATTCTATATCTTTTAATGTTGCTACCTTGAATTCTGTTTTGTCTGATTTTAACATGGCTCTGTTTCTACCTTTTTATTTGCATTTTCTTGGTATATATATTTTTTATTCCCATATTTTCCAACTTTATTGTCACATAGGGTCACCATGTGTCAGAATCTACTTAACTGCAACTAACAACACTGCCATTTTTAGATGTAGCTCATAAAGTTTATAGCTAGAATTTGTTTTATTAATGCAATCTTAAAATTTCTGTCTTTTATTAGTGGAATTTAAATTGTTCATATTTATTGTGATAACCATAATTATTAGACTTACTCTTGACACCTTATAGTATGTGTTCTATTTATCATTCTTTCTTTTTATAATTTCTACTTTTTTTCTATCTTTTACTGGATTGAGACTTATTTTAGTTTTTCCTCTAATGGTTTGGAAATTATTAATCCTATTTTGATTTTTCTGATGATTTCCCTGATATTTTAAAAACATATATTTAAACATGTATTTTGTATTAACATATAGAGTTAATCACAATAATCCCTCACCTAACAGGACAAAAACCTCAGCATACATTTACTTTGCCTCTCTGTACTTATACAAATACACATTCAAACACACACACATATTCACTCACTCACTCACTCATTCCTGCATACATTTCTGGCATTTTTATTCTAAGACCTTATGGATATTTCTACAATCAAAAGTTGCTTACATTTACCAGTAAGTTGTATTGGTTTCTTTGATCACTATCATTTCTCCTATCTCCTGTCTGCCTCTCGGATTCTTTGGGAATACTGTGTTTCTTTCCCAAAGCCTGCCTTCAATGAGCATGAGGAAAAACAAGACACACTGATATCAGAGAGTGTCAACAGATTTTTTCTGTGATCGGACCCCCATTACTCCTGAGGCCTGCTGATTAACCAGAGCACCTTAGCTCAAGTGGTCACACTTACTGCTCTAGACTGGAGGCAAAATGACCCTGCAGCTAGGCCCAAAGTTGGAAAAACCACATGGCTCTTCTTAATGTCATTCCCCAAGGAATCTCCCTACATCTCTACCAGTTGCCTTTGAATCAATCTTGGCTCATGACAATCCCATGTGTATAAGAATACACTGATTTTTCAGAAGTAGATCAGCAGGCCTTTCTTCTGAGGTGCTTCTGGCTGAACTTGAACTGTCAAGGTTAGCAGCCAAACATGTTAATCATTTGTATCACCCAGGGAATCCCTAGGGTCTCTACTGTTCCTAGAATCTATTTCCTCTGAGCTTGAAGTATGCCAGAACAACTGTCCCTGTTTATTACATTCTTCAGCATGTATTTTGGTCTGTGGTTTTCTTCCTCAATCTGGTTACATGTTTTTTCAAGAAATCTTTAAAATTTCTGATCTACTGATGGCATAGTTTCTTGCTTTGGGGCACTCTAGTGGATTTATTCTGTTATTAATACATTGTTTCGCCTGTTATTGCTAGGGTTTTGATGGGGCAGGGAAAAGCAGATATGTGTTCAGTCCCCAAATTTTAGCCAATCCCTAGATTTCCTTTATAAGGGGATATGATGTATAAAATTTTTCAACACTGTATCTTACTCTTCTAATCATAAAATGCCCCTATCAGAACAAAATACTAAATATAGTTTTGAGGAGACTTTTACACAAAAGTGAAAAACAGAACATTGCTGACACCCTAAATCTACAGTCTTCCTGCAAAACATCTGGCTGGATTAGGTGCTATCCCGTCACCATTCCTACTGCTAGCTAACTAGTAGGATCCCCAAAGTGGACCAGACACACACAGATGTAATAAGACTGGGCTACCATTTTGTTCATTTCTACCTAATTTTTTAATGATTTTTAAAAAATTTATTTATTTTGTTTTTGTTGTTGAAAATACACTCAGCAAAACTACACCAATTCAATAGCTTCTACATGTACCATTTAGTGACGTTGATTACATTCTTTGAGTTGTGAAACCATTCTCATTCTCCTTTTTCTGAGCTGTTCCTCCCCCATTAATATAAATTCACTGCCCTCTAAGGTTCCTATCTCATTTCCAGGTTGCTGTTGTCAATTTGACTGCCTATGGAAAGATCTAGGCTCTGGTAGCGTAGTGCCTAAGGCACTTGACTGCTAACCAGAAGGCTGGCAGTTCAAACCCATCAGCCACTCCTTGGAAGGAAGGTTGGGCAATCTACTTCTGTAGTGATACTGCCTCGGAAACCCAAGGAGGGGTCACTATGAGTCAGGTTCGACTCGACCGCACATAACAACAACAACAACAACGGAAAGATCTTAAAAGAACATAATGCTCAAAGCAAACAGTTTTTACTAATTTAGCTAAACTTTGGTTTTTAGAAGACTTCAGGGCATATTTTGGTTTAAAGTTTAAAGATTATCTCAGGGCAATAGTTTCAAGGGCTCATCTAGCCCCCATGGCTCAGAAAGTCCAGAATCTATGAGAATTTGAAATACTGTTCTGCATTTCCCCCCTTCTGATCAAGACTCTTGTATAAACTCTTTGATCAAAATGCTCAGTAATGGTAGCCGAGTACCATCCAGTTCTGGTCTCACAGCAAAGGAGGCAGTTCTTCACAGAAGCAATTAGCCACACATTCCCTATCTTCCTCCTACTCCTGAGTCTCCTTTTTCCTTTGTTGCTCCAGTCAACTAATGACCAACTGTTGTTGTGCCTTGGGTGGCTGCTTGCAAGATTTTAAGACCCCAATCACTACACAATGAACTTGGAGGTAGAACAGAAACACTAAACATATTATGAGGCCAATTAACTAGGATGTCTTGTGAAACCGTGACCCTAAACATCCAAACCACGCAACCAAATCCAGTTTTCGGTTGTATAAGCAGCCTCAGCAGCTACTCTCTTTTCTTTTTTTTTTTTCCCCTTGTTGTAAATACACATTCCTAATTCATTTGATGATTCAATCATATTTCTATCATGATATTTTAGAATATTATAGTATATTATGACCCATTTTCTCTGATGTTTTGGTTTAACAGGTAGAAACCAGGGTTGTGTAGCAAGCACGGAGAGAAAGAGTTGCTAGGAGTTTCATGGAAAGTCAAGTTCAGGGTAGAATTCCCTCTCACTCTGCTTTGCTAAAGCAATGTAAGCACCTCCCTGTGACAGTGATATAGAACTGATACATAGTACGGCATCCCCAGAGATGTGCCCAGAACCAAGATTTATGCCTCACATAGTGTTTCTGGGGCCTGCTGATGAGGGAGAAGGGAAAGATGTGAGCACCCTATCTTTAAGTTTCACAAGCATTGCTTCTTCTCTCCTCTAGGTGAAGAAGAGGCTGAATCAAGCACTGAGGCACTTCCTGAGAGTGAAACTTCTTGTCCCTCAATAACAACAGGTATGGCTAGAGTTTCTATGTAAACAAAAGCTTGGCCATTAAATCATAATGCAGGAAAGGGAAGACAACAGTCTGGAGCAAGCCTCTCTAGCAGATGGGTCAGAACTGATCTGTAGCATTAAAGATGATCACTCACTGAGCTTTCCACTCCTCCAACATGTCAAGAAGCAGTAAACCAAAACCAAAATGACTGTCAGTCAGTGCATTGATTCAAACTCACAGAGACCCTATAGAAAGAGAAGAACTACCCCATAGGGTTTCCAAGGCTGCAAATCTTTACAGAAGCAGACTGCCTCCTCTTTCTCCCACAGAGTGGCTCGTGGGTTCGAACTGCTGATCTTTTGGTGAGCAGCCAGATGTGCCACCAGAACTCCTTAAGAAGCAGTAAGAAGGAGGAAAAACCAACAACCAGGGCCTCCCATCTCCTTCAAAACAGGGGCCCATTCTTAGAAACCTGCATGCCCCAAGGCAAGTCTCAGAGAGAAGAAAAACAAAATGACTAGACTGAGGATGGAAATCTCAAGACATCAAATACAATGTTTGCCACTTGTCTTTCACATCCCTTCTTTCTGTCTCCTGGTTGCTAATTCAGTGAAGAGTCCCAATTCTCTCCAGCCTTGTACTGTTCTATAATTGACATAAATTGAGCTTCTTTCCCTCTCTTTTTTTCACAGTTTCTCAAAAACATACAGAAGTAGTTACAACCATGGAGACGTTCATATTCACTACAGAGTATCAGATTGCAGGTAGGTCAGTCATTTTCTTCATTAACAAAATGTACACCAGAGACTGTGGAACATGTTGCTTGGTTGGTTGGTTGGTTGGTTGATTAGGTGGTTGGCTGATTGGTTTAAAATAACCCCCTCCTTATGCCACAAAACAATTACAGGAATAAAGAACTGATACAGACATTAATATAACTCCAATGACAGTAACCAGTTATAGTAACTTATGAGCCAAATTTCAAAGTAGCCCTCAACTAGTTCCTCCTGAAGTGATCTTAAAGGACAATCCCTCCTGTCTGTGTGTTGTGAGGAGTGAGGTGAAGGAAGGAGGAATGTAGCATAATCTGGGAAAGAGAGATGTAATAATCTACAAACACCGTAATTGTTTCCTGGTAGGTGGAAAGACCAGACTTTCGGGCAGCCTCTGCAAAAAAGTTAGTATCTGACCCTAGTGCCACAGGAAAGCAGATTTTTGAAAAATATGAATGCTTTCTGGAGATGTTAATGTGTTTATCATTTATTTTTATATGCCAATGTTTCTTTTGGGAGCTCTGGTAGCATAGTGGCTAAGGCACTTGACTGCTAACCAGAAGGCTGGCGGTTCAAACCCACCAGCCACTCCTCGGAAGGAAGGTTGGGTAATCCTACTTCCGTAGTGATACTGCCTCGGAAACCCAAGGAGGGGTCGCTATAGTCAGGGCTGACTCGACGGCACATAACAACAACAACAACAATGTTTCTTTTACCAAATTCAGCCCTACATACTGCCCCCTAATGGGGCTTGGCTTCTGAACCTTTCTGAAAAGTACCCGTCAGCTTGCTCTCACAGAAAGAACGTGACCCTTGAGGAAAGGCGCCATCCCCTTTTTCTCACTCAAAGGTTCTCTCTCCACACCCCACTCCATGCTAGCTCTAGTTTTTTCACGACTGTGTAAGCCTAACAAGTCCTGTGAGAGGACCTGCACTCTAAGAAAAGAAAGCGGAAACTTCAGAGTCTCACCCCCTCTGGAAAGCCTTGCCCATCTGGGGATTTTCTCAGCCTGCTTTGGGAACCTAGCTTCCTGCTACACCCAATACCAAGGCCAGGACCCTCTGCTGAGCTAATCTCTCTTTTGACAGTGGCTGGTTGTATTTTCCTGCTGATCAGTATCCTGCTTCTGAGTGGGTTCACCTGGCGACAGAAATGGTGAGTGCAATGCTACTCAAGGAAGCACTTGCCCCATCCAGTAGGTGCAGCAATTCATCAAAGAACAAGTAAGAGAAGTACTTGCAAAAACCAAGTCTTCCTTACAAAAAGGAAAAAAAGAAACAGGTTTCTTTTTCTCCAGACCACCCCATCCTCTTACTAAGCACTAGCTGTTTAGGGATTAAATTGGCCAACTGGTGCATTACCAGAGTCACTCAAAGAGAATTAAAACAAGCAGAGAAATAGAAAGCAAAGAAAACTAGCATTTGTTGAGTGTCTACTATACGCCAAGCTCAATGCTTATCTTATAATATGCATTATTGCAATTTAGTTTCCCAATAACCTTTGGACTAGCTATAATTTTGAGAGATTAAGTACCTTGACCAAGATTGTATAGCAGAAGGTGAAACAGCAATAGGACTCTAGAGCCCAAGATCTTTCTGCCCTACCACTTTGCTAGAAGGAAACCAAAGGCAGCATCTCTACGGAGCTTTTCCTATTCTATGCACCCCATCCTGTTTCTACAGACACTCACTTCAAAGTCCCTGTGACCATGAACATAATCTATGTGTGGCCTTATTGCCATTGACTAGGGTTCTCAACTCTGGCTGCATCTTCGAACCACCAGGAGAGATTTTTTTCAGGTACCAATGCTTGGACCCCAGTCAGAATCTCTAGGGAGCAGGACCCAAATATCACCACTTTTTAAGTTTCTCAGAGGTGTCCAATATATAGTTAGGTTTGGTAACTCGGCACTAGGCCAGTGGTTCTCAAACTTGAGTGGGCATCAGGATCACCAGGGGTGCCTACTGAAGCACAGATTGTTGTGCCCTAGCCCCAGAGTTCTGATTCAGCAAGTCTTGGGTGGGTCCCAAGAACATACATTCCTAACAAATTCCCAAGTGATATGGCTGCTGTCATTCCAGGGACTAAACTTTGAGAACCACTGCATAAGACTAATAATCTTAGAAAAAGAGGAGGAAAACATCTCACAAAAGTCATAGTTTATTAAGAAAAGTTAGAGTTTTTCCTTCCTTATAGAGAGTAGATAGATTATAGAGACCTACCATGTCACTGACTTGACTACACAGGGTGTCCCAACCTGTGCCAGAGTGTGCTCTGGTCAACCCTGCTGTAAATGCTCCAGTAAGATTCCGAAAAGACACAGATCTACCCCCATCAAAGTGAGACCAACACACCACTGCTTGGAGCAAGGTAGGAAGTAATCAGATGCTCCTATGTACTAAGTCAGGTCGGGAAAAGTCTAGGATTGTACTATCCAATATAGTAGCACTAGCCACGTGCGGCTATAGTTAGCCCACTATAGAGAGAGGAGAAAAAAAGAAAAAAAAACTTCCATTCTTATATTGATCATCAGGAATACAATATACTCCTAATTTTACTCAAGTGAATTAAGAAGTATAAACTATTGCAATGCAAATGCTAAGCCCTTCAGGGTTACCGTATTAGGAATTATCACATATCTGGCAGTCTCCCAATTTCTCCATGGTGTTAGCTGATCCCTAAGGGGTTATTCTGGGTTACACAGGATTAAGTGTGCAAAATGTCTGAAATTATAGGTGCTCAGCACTTGTTAGATTCTCTCCATTCTTAGTGACAAGGCTTAAATACCATTAATGATCCTTTGGTTTGATAGCTTGAAGACCAAAGGCCTTCTGGCACAAAGGGACAAGACTAAGCTACTTGGGAGTAATAACTGTTTGGAAAGGAGCTCTGGTGGCGCAATGCCTAAGGCTAACCAGAAAGTTGGTGCTTCAAATCCATCAGCCACTCTGTGGAAGGAAGATGGGGCAATCTACTTTCACAAAGATTTACAGCCTTGGAAACCCAATGAGGGTCGCTATGAGTTGGAAATGACTCAATGGCAATGGGTTTGGTTTTTGGTAATGGTTTGGAAAAAGGAGCCCGGGTGGTGCAGTGGTCAAGCACTCAGCTGCTAACCAAAATCAGCAGTTCGAACCCACCAGCCGCTCAGGGAGAAGGATATGGCAGTCTACTTCCATAAAGATTTACAATCTTGGAAAACTTGTAGGGAAGTTTTACTGTGTACCATAGGGTCGTTATCACTCGGAATGGACTGGACAACAGCAATGGGTTTGGGGTTTTTGGAGTTATTATTATTATTTTTTTAAGTGGTTTGGAGTTTATGTTGTGAAACAAAGAACTGCCTGAAACTACAGGAGTTCCCACAAGGACTCCCAGAACTACAGTCTTCTGGAGACACAAACTTAAATCTCAAAATGAGCCCTGTGCTTGGTTACAGAGCTTGTCCAGAACGCTCTTTAGAATATAATTTCATCCGATGGTGCCCTCTTGTGGTCAAACATAAATCCTGCATATGAATTACAATGATAACCATATCATGGCCAAAGATTTTTTTGATCAATTAAGAGCCAGTGATGTGTTGGTACAGGTTCACACTGGATCATGAGAGTCAATTGTTAAATTTTCAGGAACTTTGTGAGCTGGTTGTTAAGCACAACCATTATTAAAAATTAAATTATATAAACTTCAAAAAAAAACAACAAACTCACTGCCATCTAGTCAGATCCGACTCATAGTGACCCCTCCTTGGGTTTCCAGGGTGGTGTCTCTACTGAAGTAGATTGCCCAAATTTCCTTCTGAGGAGTGGCTGGTGGGTTTGAACCACCAGCCTTCTGGTTAGCAGTCAAATGCCTTAAGCACTATGCTACCAGAGCTCCTTATATAAACTCACAACTAACTAATTACATTAAAAACAATGTAACATGCAAAACTAATCATTTCCTAAGCTATTGTCTTTGTTCTCAGTGTTATTTGCATCTAGTGTGTCTGTACAGTGAAAATACTCTCCAAAGTTGGGTTACAGCACATCTTTTCCCAACTCCACATTCTGTGATTGGTAGCTTAAAAATGGCCATGGTGGGAGTATTTATACCTTGGAAACAGGCAAACTTCTTCAGAGAGCTGGTTGTTGAACATCTGTCAACACACTATTGCTTGGAGCCCTGCACTACGGGAGCTCTGAGCAAGGTAGGGAGTAACCAGATGTTCCTGTGTGCTATATAAGAGCTGTGAAAAGTCTAGGACTGCACTGTCCAATATCTAGCAACTAGCCACATATGGATATTTAAATTTAAACCTCAGTAAATTAAACACAATTAAAAATCTAGTTTCTTGATTTCACTAGCTATGTTTCAAATGTTCTTAACCACATTTGAGTGTGGCTACCTTACTGGACACAAGGATAAAAAATATTTCCATCATCACGGAGAGTTCTACAGGACAGCACTTGTAGGAACTTCCCTAGTTTATTAAAAACATTTAGCACAGTTAGTTGTTACTATTATTCCTGTTCTATAACCATTGTCCTCTATATATATCAAAACACATTCATAGAACATCTCTTATATGCCAGGCACTGTGGTAGTGGCCCAAAGTTGAATATAACATAGCCCTGTTCTCAGGAGCTCACAGACTAGTGGGGAAGAAACAGAAAAAAATAAAGACTGTAAATATAATTTGTTAAGAATTAAGATTGGGGTGTTGTATGAGAAAAGAGAAAGGATACTTAATCCTACTTGGGATCCAAAGAAAGTTTTTAAAGGAGATGGTGCCTGAAATGCTGTGACCAGATAAAGAAAGGTGGGAAATAGCTTCTAGGCAGAGGGAAAAGTGGGAGGACAAGGAGTCATGAGCCAGCATGATGATGTGTTGGGAAGAAGTCAAGGAGTTCTAAACAACTAGTATATGAAGCATACAGAGGCAGTGGTGACAGTGATGCTGCGGGGTGGACAGGAGCCAAGTCATGGAGGATAGGCCTGGCTGAGGAGATTGGACTTCATCGTGAGGTCAACAGAGGTACAAAGAACTCTTTATTTACGAGGCAAGAGGTGGCATTGGCTGTTTGAGTGGTCGGCTACAATGTAGAAGCTGCGTTTAAAGCAAAAGTGGTGGCTCCCCGGGTGGTACAAGCGTTTTGTACCAGACTATTAACCTAAAGCTTGGTAGTTTGAACCCAGCAGCAGCACTGTGGAAGAAAGACCTAGAGACTTGCATCCATAAAGTGTATAGCTGAGAAAGCCCTATGGAGTAGTTCTATCCTGTCACACATGGGGTCGCCATAAATCAGAATCAACTTAATGGCTGTAGGTGTGGTTTATAATAGTGGTGGCAGCTTGATTACATTGCAATGGGATAAATCCATACAATTAAAGCTTGAACTAGATCAGTAGACAGTAGTGAGAAAGGAGGAAAGAAATTGAGAAATACATAAAGAAAGTAAAATTAGCAGGCTTTGGTGACTGATTGGAAGTGAGGGTTAAGGAAGAAGGGTGAGTTATAGATGACTCCCAGGTTTAAATATGTGTGCAATAGTGAGACCATGTGGTAACTATATCCTAGAATGAAATTTGATGTAAGGATCTCAAATAACATTGGTGTAAACAGTTAATGTGCTCAGCCAATAACCAAATGGTTGGAGGTCTGAATCTACCCAGGGGTACCTTGGAAAAAAGGCCTGGTGATCTACTTCCAAAAAATAAGCATTTGAAAACCCTATGGAAAACAGTTCTACGCTGCACACAGAGGGTTGAGATCTGATCCCCCAGCATGTGGAAAGGTAACAGTTTCTTAGGGTGGAGTTTAAAGTAAACAGGTCAATTGGGGCTAAAGTTAAATGCTGTACTCATACTGGTTTAGGGTGGGGACCATATTATTCTTGGTGCAGTATTACACATATGGCTATGCCTTTGTTATAACTGTACAGGAGGAAGAGTAGAAGAACAATCTAGAAAACCAAGACTCGTAAGAAGCCAAAAATAGCCAGCAGAAGACATGGAGCACAAGGCAAAAACAAAGAAGTTAAACACTCATCCAACAAGCATCTCTTGTGATCCCCTGGGTTTTGGAAAGCTCTGAAATTGCATCACAGAACACCAGGCAACTGCAACCTCATCTTTAAACCAGCTCTGTAATGTCAATGAGTAAGATTTACCTG